CGGCAGGAAGATTGAGATCTGTTTATTTGTATGACTGAGCAAGTTGGCTAAGCTCTCAGAAACTCAGTCTTATTTGTAAAGTAGAAATAATAACTTTAGATGGGGAGAGTGAGCTCAGGTATAGAGTTCGTGCCTAGCATGCATGAGGACATGGGTTCTATCCCCAGTTCCTCCACCCAGTCAGTCAGTCAGTCAGTCAGTCAATCTCATTACCTCTCCCCTCCCCCAGAAAAGAAATAATATAACTTCAGGGTTTGAATCTTAGGGAGATTCACAATTCTGCGCACGCGCGCGCACACACACACACACACACACACACACGACAGGCAGCAATGGTGGCAGTTTTGAGCTCGCCTCCCTCCTTTCAGAACCTTCCAGAACCTCAGTCTCCTCAGACTGATGGCATTGTGGCAGGTGTCCCTTGCCTCAGCTATTATTTCTAATTGTTCTTTCACCTTGCTGCCATTTTTGGTTGAAACGTCCGCTGCAAAAAAAGTGCCGGGTGTTTCCATCTGTGACATTCAAGCCATTTGCTAGGATCCCCTGATTTTTAAATGCAGTGTGTCAACACGGTCCGTCTCTTAGAGATGGCCACTGTAAGGTAAAGAGCCAGAACCGTCTCCTACCTAGGAATGCCACTCGCTCTCTCCTCGGATGTGGAGAAACCATCCGTGACTGAGTGAAGCGACCACAGCAAAGCACTGAACGAACAGGCCGGCGAAAGGGGATGCTGAGAAAAGCACACGGACCTCCCGTGACTTCTTACCTCTGCTACCCCTTTGTCACTTTCAGTCTTCGCCACCGTTTCTCCTTGGTCTGGCTTAGATGTCCCTTGAGTTGTCTCTCCCTGGTAAACAAACTTCCTTTTCTAAGCAAAGTAACAGAAGCTGTACGTCCCCTGTTGCGTAGACGGCTCTGATGGCAGGGGCGAACAGTTTATCCGTGTGTGAGTCTTTGAGGAGGGTTGCTGTAAAGGGAGAAGTGTGCAGGGTATCCGGAAGTTAACCATTTATTGCCACGGTGGGACAAAAACGAACTTCAAGTAAAAGGTAAGATTAAAGTGGCAGAAAAAGTCAACGTGACCTGAAGGCTGTTCACTGAGGTACAGTGAGTTTCTAGCTCTCCCGAATTTGAAGTCACTTACAGTCCCAGTGCTGCTGCCCTCCTGGACTGGCCGGCACTGGTCGGGGAGTGTGGAGAGACCCCCAGCAGAGGGGGACGTGACCTCCCCACTGTGGGGCTCAGTCCAGTGGGAACGAGGGAGCAAAAAAGCCCAAGGCCAGGATTGTAAATTAAAGTCTGTTTTACGGAAGAGAAGACCATGCAGTTTCATTCAGTATCTCTGCTGGGATCGAGAGGTGGAGATTCTCTTTTTATAGCATGTATCCAGCTAACTTAATGGAAAATGTATACATGGTACCATATTCTACTAAGTCATGTGAATAAATGAGAGTATTTATTATATGTGCGGGGTGGTGAGCGACACTTCTCTCAAAAGCATCGGGGACATGTGGAGACATCGCACGTTAGTCTCTTGCTCTGATGGTCTGACTAGGAGACCACAGACGTTCTCATGGACCTCGTTCAGAAGGCCTTAACAGCCAGAAGCATGGCACGGCCCCAGGTTGGATGTTAGCTAGCCGTGTGCCAGGGCTGTTGCAGTTACAGTGACAAATTTGTGAAGTCAGATTTCTTAGAAGACTGTCATCGGTGTGAAGTCCATCCCCACCGGCCCCCCATCACACACACACCCCTACAGGTGCAGAGTTGTAAGAGGAAGCCCAGCACCTGTGGGGCAGGAGGCTACAACACAAGGACAGTGGTACATGGCAGTTTCATTTCAGGATCCTAAGTTTTTGAAGTTCCTTTTTTCAGTAGGCTTGGCTATGCTTAATCTTTAGGGCCCCCAAATTATATGCATAGCCTTAGAAAGATTTAAGGAACACCAGATATGTCAGGTTTATTAACATTTTGCTAAATTCATCATAGTTTGTAAAAGGATTCTCATAAGGTTATAAGATTTTAAAATATGAGCTTTGCTTTATGACTTACTTGGGGATTCAGTTGACTGAACTTGAGTAAATTATTCACCACTTCATTAAAACTCACCAGGACAGAAGGTTTCCATCTGATGCATTAAGCTGTCTATTGCCGAAGAAGTGCTGTGTACTCGGCACAGACGACGGTTCTCCCAATGCAGCCAGCACTGAAAGTGACTGTGCATGAGATGTAAATTTTACATTATACTTTCCATTAATGAAAATGATTTATGTAAACATCAGGAGATGCTGGTTTTCAATAAGGATCTACACTTTGGTGATTTTTAACCTCTTAGTGGGAACCTTATTATTCTCATTAAAATGTCTTACTGCAGAAGAGACATCCTGGAATCTTGTAATGATTATCTTTATTGCTTGGAGATACCATTTTAGTAAGTGGAAATTTAGTGAAGATTCTAGGTAAAAGAGCTATTGTCATTTGAGAGTAAAAAATTATATCCTAAAAATTTTTAAAACTAGAAATTCGTTTATTTTTTTCTACTAGAACTGAAATCATGCCATTTATTAGAATGGATGATACAAAAGAGGTGGGCTCTGTGAAATAGGTGTGTTACACTTTTAGTAAAGATAATTCATAACATTACTGCCAAACAATAATAAAACATGGGCTTCAAGGCTTTTACCGAGTTCAACTGATTCAGCTGATCTTAGGTTTTCTCTACAAAATTCCTGCCAAAGTTAATCCATCCCTTGCTATCTCTGTGTGAGCCCTGTTGTCTCCTGGCACTTTTATTTTATTATTTTAATATTCTTATTTTTATTTTTTAGCAGAAGGGGGAAATGTGTTAAGCAAAAGGATACAGCTGCACAGCCAAATTAATTATTTTATTTATTTAATGGAGGTACTGGGGATCGAACCCAGGACCTCGTGCATGCTAAGCATGCGCTCTACCACTGAGCTGTACCCTCCCCCATCCTGGTACTTGTAGTCACGGGCTCATAACCAAATTTGTGCATCACTTTCCAGTTGGCTTTGTTGTGGGTAAATAAAATTCCATTATCAGATTCTATTTCTGGATCTCTGGCCATTAAAAAACCCTTTGTTAATGCCTGGCATAGCTCTGATTGGCTCCAGTCTCCTGGGATGTGAGCTGCTTTATTCACAAAGTCTAATTCCTCTTTGTCACATTATTTTTTTTCTCAAAAGTAAAACATTTACATTTCTCCTGCTTCCTATTTTTTTTTTTTTCATGAACCTTATTCGGCAAGCTTTCTCCATCCTTTGTTACTCTCTGGGAACTCTGACTGGCTTGTATCCCTCTAGAACTATGCCAGAATTAGCCAAAGGTTCCAGGAGCAGCTGGTGATGCAAGGACTTAGACGAATTCAGGAACTGATGCTCAGAACGTTGGTTCTCAATCCTTCTGAGAGTCTAAGCTCCGGAATCCGTGCAGAAGAACACACGTGTGCGGAGAGGTTCCAGTCGATACAATTCCAGGGGGTTGCTGGGACTCCCTGTAGCTCATTCGTAACTTTCTGGGGTCAACCACTCTGTTGTGTTGAGACTGTGCACAGGAATAATGGGCGACCTCTTAGTGACCACAGGTACCTGGCCTGCACTCGGAAACTGATAGAAGGCAGAGAATTGGGAGATCTGACGCGAAAGGCTTTTCAGAGTTATTTCTAAGCTGGAGAGAGTTTAGAAATCAGATTTTGAAACCACTTTTCAATTACCACAGCATGAGTGAGGTTTTTTTGGATTTTTTTTTTTTTTGTCCAGAAGCCGATTTCACAGAAAATGCATTTAGTGCTTTTTCCTGAACTGACTTGTTTAGACATGTTGGTCCTTTCAGGATGAAATGCTTGTTAGATTTTAAAAATGGTCAGCTGAGCCTCACGGCCAGCTGGCTTCTCTCTGACGCCATTTGTTGGATGAAGACTCTCCTGACTGCCTTGATTTGGGAATGACTCAAACCTAGTAGAAAATAAAACAGACATATGTTTTGACCACTGGCCCTAAGGCAGGATTTTTTGATGTCTGTTTTGTGGAAGATAGAGCTTCTTGGAACCTACAGAAATGGCAAGAGGGAAGAAAATGTTAGTTTTTGGATGTGTCATTTAACCAGACAATTGAACAAAATATGTGTTCTTTTTCTTCAGGATTGCTTTGGTAATTCTGGGGGCGGGGGGGTTGTGTGTGATTCCATATAAATTATAGGATTATTTGTTTTAGTCCTGTGAAAAATGTCCTCAGTAATTTGACAGGGATTGCATTAAATCTGTAGATTGCCTTGGTTAATGTGGCCATTTTAACATTAATTCTTCCAATCCAAGAGCATGGGATATCTTTCCATTTCTTTAAATCATCTTTAGTTTTCTTAAGCAGCATTTTATGGTTCTCCAGGTATAAGTCTTCCACCTCTTCGGTCAGGTTTATTTCTAAGTATTTCTGAACGGATATTTGGAAAGAACTGTCCAGCCCCGTGCTTTGGCTGGTGTGTTTTCACCTCCCGTTCTCTTCCTGTGGCCGCCCTCCCACCGTTCCCTCCTCCGCCTGGTTCTTGCCCCGCGCCTTTGTCACAGTCTTCCCTGCTAGAACGTGCTGTGAGCAGTTTGTTTTTGGACGCAAGGCAGGCGTTTGGGCCGTAACGAGGACTGGGGAGGGGAGTGCGTCCTCCCGGTGAGCTAGGCTTCTTGCATGTGTCTCCCCTGATGGCTTAAGACAGCGCAGCGTTAGCTCCTAGCACACGGAGCTTCTTTCTGCCCGACAGTGGACTCAAAACCAGGTTCGGATGTGTGGGAGGAGCCGGTCAGACGTGATCCAGTGGTGGACATCGCGAATGCCTGGCATCCCGTTAACTTTACTGTAGTAACAGTTACGAGGGAGCCTTTACGGTGCCCACCTCAGTTTCATCTGGCGCTTCCCGAGGGTTTGAAGGGGGAGGGGGGCACAGCAGGTGATGTTATTTACCAGGTGTCCTCCTCCTCTTGCCCCTGCAGGTTACGGCCACACCGTGCCCTTGTCCGACGGGGGCAAGGCTTTCTGCATCGTCTACTCCGTCATCGGCATCCCGTTCACCCTCCTGTTCCTGACGGCGGTGGTCCAGCGCGTCACCATCCATGTCACCCGCAGGCCGGTCCTCTACGTCCACGTCCGCTGGGGCTTCTCCAAGCAGGTGGTGGCCATCGTCCATGCTGTCCTCCTCGGCTTCCTCACTGTGTCCTGTTTCTTCTTCATCCCAGCCGCCGTGTTCTCCGTCCTGGAGGATGATTGGAACTTCCTCGAGTCCTTCTATTTTTGTTTCATTTCCCTGAGCACCATTGGGCTGGGGGACTACGTTCCCGGAGAGGGCTACAATCAGAAGTTCAGAGAGCTCTACAAGATCGGGATCACGTGTGAGTATCGAGGTCAGGTTCACAGCCTCTGCCTGGGGGGATACCCATCTGCCGTCCCTCGTCAGAGCTCTGACTGCTTTCCATGGATAAGTCTTCCATGTTTCCGCCTGACTGAAACGATTTCATTTCATCACGAGTCCCTTCAAAACCCTTTATGCAAAAGATCTTATTATTACTGAGAGTTATTTTTCCCAGGCACTTTCAAAGTACCAGTTTCTTACTAATAATGTCATAGGCATTATAAATTAGTGTAAAAATGCGCCACTCAGAATATGCTTGATAATCAGCTTTTCATTTTTAAAAAAAGTTGCTTTACTTTATTAAATATTTAAGGCTCAAGAAAACTGGGGCTGGGATGTAGCCTGTTACAATCAGTCCTGTTCTTTAATTTGTCAAGGAACATCTTAAAACAGTTGCTAATCTCGTTTATCCATCTGGTTCTTTTTTGAAGTTAAGAGTATGTTCACCACTTTCAGATTTTGTTTGTTTGGAAGATTTCAGGTTTTTTTAGGTGGAAAACAGGCATTAAAATTCAGATGGCCAGTGACTTACCATTTTTAAACAGTTTATAAAAATTCAGTATAATAGCATGGAAACACTTGGAAATCCATTTGCAAGACAACTATTTTTGTGTGTCCCTTTCCAGTCTTTTCACAGTGCATAGAATTGCATCATAATGTGCACAGAGTTTTCATTTCTGCCTTCTCTAGAATTTTTCAAGTTTCAGCTTATGCCAGGTCTTCTAGGAAATCACAGAACACATTGAAGCAGTCAGATGTTCTGTCCTGGCCCTCTCCTAAAGTCTTAACATAACAAAATGCTTACTTGGACTATGTATTTCAGCATTTCCATTAAATCATGCTCACCCAGGAAAAAGGCTTCACTCATAAACTTCCAGTGCTTTGAACAGTGCCTGGCTACCAAGAAATATTTGCTAAATGGTTACAAAGGAGATTTCATATTTTCTCTAATTACCGTATTTATTTTTAATACCCAAATAATATTTTACCAGGCGACGATACCACAATCTAGCCATGTTTCTACTGTCCAATATTTAGATTGTTTCCAGTTTGGGGGACACTGTAAATAATTCTGCAGTTAATATTTTTGTATGCTTACATTTTTCTCTACTTTGGTATCTTTCCAAGAAGTGGGATTGCTGACCCAAAGTGAACATGCCCTTTTGTGACTCATGGAACATGTTGACCCAGTGCCTTCCAAAAGGCATTACGAATTTACACGATCACCAGAATTTCCTGAGTGCAACCGTTGCAGGAGTCCTGGGGGGTGTGGGCCAGCAGCAGCACAGTAGAGGGTTTTGTTGTGAATTTGATAGCACAGATGAACATCATGTTCACTTTCTTTTCCTACATTAGGGTTAAATGTTACCTCCTGATTTTAATTTTTTCATGACTTACGTATATTGAGTATGTTTCTGTCATTAATTATGTTTGCTAGCTCTATTTTTCTGTTGGGTTAATTAATTGTCTTCTCTGAAATTCTGCCCAACAGTGTAACTTCCTCAGTTTTTCATACAGCACTAAGTCCTTGTAGAACATTTTAACACTTGTTACAATGTGTATTTTTAAGGCAGTCCACATAGTGTATATGCTGGGTGGAGCAAATGAATGTTCCAAAGGTATATTCGTTTGTGGATAGGCTAAAACCCCACAGCTTTTGTTTGAAACCCCATGGGTATTTTTGTCAGCCCTCCAGTTTGACTAATGGATAAAGGAAAAGTAGGAGATTTGCCAGTTAGTCTAACGGTGTCACTGCTGTTTCTAAAATATGCTGTATTATTATGGAAACTTAACAGCAAATTCTAAAGATACTGTGACTGTCACTTTGCATTCTGGACCTAATCAGCCTCCTTATTCCTATGACACTGCTGATTCTGGCTTCTCTGGTTCATTTATTTTCTGAAAATCTTCCCTCGAACATTTTACCACTGGGACGTGAAATGGGGATTCCTGTTATTCTTAAGCGTTTTCATTTTCACTTTTTTATTCTCCCTGATGATTTTTTTCCCCTAAAAACTGACTTTAAACACATGGAACTGACTTAAAATGACCCTTTTCCCATTACTGATCCCAAGGAAGAGCAAAAGGTTGTCTTTTATTTCGGAGCAAGAAGCTGGTAGAGTTATTCGATGAGTGGTCCATGTGCCCCTTTAATGACTTGTCCCATAATGGAGACATTAGTTTGCTGCTGGATCTCAATGGATGTGTAAATAGCCACACCAAGACCTTGTTAATATCTATGTTCCTTCTTAAAATAATTTTCATCTAGCTTGCACTGTAATTTTTATTGCCAAAATCTTTCTTCTGTTGTGAAATAAATAATCAAAGCCTGGAGTGTGAAAAGGGTGCCAAACATTTTTCCAGGCACTCGAGACAAATCAAAAGTTCTTCTGAAACGTCACTGGCTTTTTGTGAGGGACTGGTTCTCCAGTGGAGGTGGTGGTCACCCCTGTGTGAGTATGTGTCTTTAACGGTGCCACAGCAGCCCCAACGTTTTTCCCCCCAAAATTGTACCATGTGATTCTTTTTGGGGGAGGGCAGGTAATTAGGTTTATTTATTTATTTTGATGGAGCGATTGAACCCAGGACCTCGTGCATGCTAAGCACATGCTCTACCACCGAGCTATACCCTGTCCGCCTTAGCACGTGATTCTGAATAATCCAGATTTGTAGGAGGTTAAGTCATTCGGCATCTTCCTCTGGGTTGTCCTTCTTTGACCCATGGAATCCAAAACATCCCTAAGAAATGAGAGAAGCAACAATGAACTGACGCATCAACAGACAGGCTGTGTCGTGACCTGACCCCACTGAGACCCTGTCCTTGTCACGCAGGCTACCTGCTGCTCGGCCTCATCGCCATGCTGGTCGTGCTGGAGACCTTCTGCGAGCTGCACGAGCTGAAGAAATTCAGGAAAATGTTCTACGTGAAAAAGGACAAGGACGAGGACCAGGTGCACATCATCGAGCACGACCAGCTGTCCTTCTCCTCCATCACGGACCAGGCGGCCGGCGCCAAGGAGGACCAGAAACAGAACGAGCCTTTTGTGGCCCCTCCGTCGCCAGCCATGGCCGATGGGTCCACAAGCCAGTAAGCCCGGGGCAGCGCCGCGGAAGAGGCTGCAGTTTGTGTGTTTTTATGAGAATGTAAAATCCAAGGTGATATTTTAACAGATATCTCCCATTTGTGATTTTTTTGGGGGGTGAAATAGAACAAAGGAAGTTTTTACTCCAGAGGACTTGTCTAAAATCTGAGGAAACGGGGTATGCACCTGTAAGTCCCAAATTATCCAGACTTTACTTTTACTAATCGGTGAAGAATGCTTGAAGCCAGGTGCCGCTGTGGACAGAAACAGATTTTACCCTTTTCGCTGGGGACTTCGGGATTTGCATTTACATCATTTAGCTGGTGGGGAGACAGACAGCAACATTTATATTTAAAAGCAGAAAAGACGCATAGAAGTGTTTTATAAATAAGTTTATGTGTACCAATTTGCATGGGCCCATCCAAAGTCATTATTTTTGTAGACTCTAAGTTAAACCTACTATTTATAATGACTAGATAATAACCATTAACTGTGTACATATAAAGTATAAATATGTTTATATCCTGTACATATGGCTTAGGACGCCAGATCCCAGCACACTTCTTAACCCAAGATTGTAGAGATTTTTTCCTTTTGATTTCTCTTTATACTAAAGAATCAAGAGTTGCTGTAATAAAGTAAGGAGCATAATAATGCACTTATGAGTGAGCTACTTCAGTATTCTGCTACAATAAATGTTTCTACCCTCTTGCAGTAGTATGGTATCAAATGTCTAAAATGTTTGAAAGCGTTTCTCTGGAAATGAGCAAGAAATGAAGACTAAAACAAAAATAGTTAAGATATTTTTATTTTGAAAGTGCGCTGTGATTTGCAGTCCCCCTGCACTAAAGCACAGGCTGTGAACATACAAACCCCAAGTGAACAGATTCTGTCAAATTAGTGTGAGAGGTTTGTTTTTTTTTAATTTATAAGCTAAAAGAAATAAAAATCATAGCTGGTTGCCACCTCTTGCTTTAATATAGCAAGAAAAGTTTTCCTCCCTGTAGATAATATGTTTGCACTGCACGCCTTTATAGAAACCATAAAGGCAATACTTCAGGGCTGAACTCAGGAAACTGTTAGGAATTTTAGGACAGAAAATTGAGCCCTGTGTGGTAACTAATATTCAGTGACCAGCTAACCAAGCCTCATCTCCCTGGCAACTGCTCAGGAGGTGGTGCTTGAAGTGTTGGTAAAATCAACTTGCTGGTGAGCTAACCAAGTAGAGCATCCCCACCTTGGGGGTTCTCCCGGAAGTCTATGCGCCGCGCCAGGGAACCCCCTGACCAGCCCCGTCCTGCTCACTGCTGTCAGCCTTCAAACGCTGTACCCCCTGACTTAGAACAGGGCCCTTCTTTATTACATAAAATCCCATCTGGTGTGAGAGCAGCCAAACCGTAAGAAGGAAGTACGTTACCTCTGTAGCCCCCGTGCCCCTCCAGAGCTCCTGTGATGGTGAACTGTCCTCAGCAGATCCTTTCCATTGTTTAATTCCAAACATGTCACTCTATTCCATTGAGCTGGGTTACGCCTTCCCATAAGCACATTTCTGTCTCCACAGTGGAAGACTGCTCACCCTGGGCCAGTAACTGGCTAAGGAGTAGGGTAGAGACTCCTTGGAGAACAGGGACACACTTCATGGTCAGGACTGGCTTTGGGAAGTTCACGGGGTTTGTGACACTTGGGATGGTACAGGGAGTCTGAAAGAGAAATCACAGAATCAGTGCATTATACCTGGAGAATATCACGTTTCCCTCAACGCAGGATAAAAAATGACGCCTTGGCTGTAATCTGAGAGGAGAGTGCAAAGTCCAGCAAATGAGGAAGAGCCTAAAGGGAAAATTCTGAATCAGGATGTCATTAATAAGCAGTAGAATGCAGCAGGACTTAACTTTCAAAGCTTTTGTGAATCTGTAGAGATTACACTAAACCATACTGCTTGTCACATTGTTTTTGTCTTTTTTTTTTTAAACTTTTAATTGAAGTGTAGTTGATTTACAATGTCAGTTTCAGGTGTACAGCAAAGTGATTCAGTTAAAAAATACATTATTTCTCAGATTCTTTTCCATTTTATGTTATTACAAGAAATTGAAGTTCCCTGTGCCATACAGTAGGTCCTTGTTTATTTTAAAAAATTTTATTCTTTATTGAAGCGTAGTTGATTTACAGTGTTAGTTTCAGGTGTACAGCAAAGCAATGCAATTATATATACCTGTATTTTCAGGTTCTTTTCCATTATAGTTTATTACAAGACATTGAAAATAATTCCCTGTGCTAAGTCTTTGTTGTTTATCTATTTTATGTATGGTAGTGTGTGTCTGTTAATCCCCAACTCCTAATTTGTCCCTCCCTGCCCTTTCCCCTTTGGTAACTATAGTTTGTTTTCTGTGTCTGTGAGTCTGTTTTGGTTTGTAAACAGAATCAGCAAATTCTGCCATTTTTTTTAAATTGAAGTATAGCTGATCTACAGTGTTGTGTTAATTTCTTTTTGTCATTTTTAATGTGAAGTATGAGGTCCAAATACTGGAGCAAGTTTTGCCTCCCACACCTGTCAGATATGAAATGGGAGTGTGTCTTCCCCGGACTCTCTGTCACCGGCCAAGGGGCAGATGCCGCCCTGGGGCCCTGAGGGAGGGGTGAGCCATGTCAACCTGGGAATAGGCACAGGCTCCTCTGGGGGCAGGTTGTAGAGGGCGGCATGGCAGTGTGACTGGACTGGAACTGTCATTGGAACCCTCTGGCCAGAGGTGAGAGAGTATAAAGGTGGAGGTCAAAGTTCACACTATACGAGAGGGTCCTAAGCATGAGTGGAGTGTTACTGAAGGGTGGGAGCCCAGGGCAGGGGTGCACTGGGGTGGCAGACACACGCAACATGAAGAGAGAACAGTGTCTCAGAGTAAGAATTCTCAACCTTGCAGAAATCAAAGAGACTGTAGACCAAGACATGGGAGTCATCTCCCAAAAAAACAGACTTACCCTGTGACCCCGCAGTCCCACTCCTGGGCATATATCCAGAAGAAACTCTAATTTGAAAAGATACATGCACCCCAATGTTCACAGCAGCACTATTTACAACAGCCAAGACATGGAAGCGACCTAAATGTCCATAGACAGATGACTGGATAAAGAAGATGTGCTGTGCATATTCAATGGAATACTACTCGGCATAAAACAGAGTGAAATAATGCCACTTGCAGCAACATGGATGGACCTTGAGATTGTCATTCTGAGTGAAGTGGGCCAGAGAAAGAAAAACAGCATATGGTACCACTTGTATGATATGAATCTAAAAAAATTAGACAAATAAACTGACTGACAAAACAGAAGCCGACTCAGGCGCAAAAAACAAACATGGTTATCAAAGGGGAAAGGGGTGAGGAGGGATAGATTAGAAGTTCGGGATTAGCAGATACACACTACTGTATATAAAATAGATAAACAACAAGGTCCTACTGTACAGCACAGGGAACTGTATTCAATATCTTATAGTAATCTTTAATGCAAAAGAATATATATATGAGAAGAATATATATATAATGAAAAGAATATATATATGATGACTGAATCACTATGTTGTACCCCAGAAACTACACTATAAATCAACTATACTTCAATTAGAAAAAAGAACGGGACATACCTTTGGCCCCAATGACTCCATTCATGAGTGACTTCAGGAAAATTGGGAATGATTAAATTCCTAAGACGAGGTCACTTTCTTGCCTGGAAATCAGTCATGGCCTTACTTCCTACCGATCTGCCTTCTGGGCCTTTTGGAAAATGAATGGAAATTTTGGAAAATCTGGAGATGTCAAGGTAACTGAAATAGTCGATGCAAAACATTTTTTAACCCTTTAGAGTTATCAGCCCAGGAACTTGCCAATGGGCTGGCAGGGCGCACCCACGGGGCGACTGACCTTCAAAGCTCCCGTGCTGAGGAGCGCTGTGGGGTACCTTAATATCCTCAATTCAGGAAGGCAGTCCTTTGGGGGGTGTCGTTTCAGAAACATGTACGTGGTCAAACAGATCATCCCTGGGCAAATTTAGGAACAAAACTTCCTTAGAAAGCTGAAATTGAAATAACATAGTCTTTACCACTTACCGTATTTCACTGTGCCCAGTAAAATTTCAAATCTGTCTCTTTAGTCCATTTAAAGTTTTCCCCATGGTGATGTCTTATTTTTCAAGTGTTTTCACTTTATGAAAATTCAGTACGTCCAAGCTTTTTTGTGTGTGAGGCAAAACACTCAAATGGTTTGCCGAAGACGATATTCGAAACAGCTCATTTATCGAGTACACACTGTCAGGCAGCCTCAGCTTTCTAAAATGCAATAAGGAGCCCAGAAATAAGTAAAAGCGCTTTTAAGCATTTTCCCAGCTCAGCAGTCAAGCAGGTTTAATTAAAAAAGCCCCCTCTTTGCTTCCCTCGGGGCTTATACTTCCTTTGCACACAGCGCTAGTTAAATTACTGCTCTGGTTTCCCCATCCACAGAAAATAAAGGGGCGTGTTGCTACCCAATTGTTCACAGATTTTGATTTTGCATGCTTACCATGTTATAATTTTTGGTGGCACAGTGAAAATAAAAAATTAAAAGTCTCAAGCTGCAAGCTGGCAATAATTACTGGACAACTGCTTACGAAGCCTTAAATGAGCGCTGGCTCTCAACTTGCATAAAAGCATCCACCGTGCCTGTGCCACCTCTGGCCTCTGGCGCTCTGCACCTGGGAAGAAGAGTTTCCTGCTTGAGCCCTCCGTGTCCTTGGAAGGAACAAGGAATGGTCACATGCTCTGGGAACCCGGCAACTTCTCACTTACTCAGAGCAAATTGTATCCATTCTAAGTCAAATGGCAAGACACACTCAGGTCACTATGATGGTAAACGTATAAATACTTGGGGCAGTATACAAGTATGTATACTCCTGGATCCAATCCCCAGTACCTCCATTTAAAAAAAGTTTGAAAAAAAATTTTTTAAAGTTTGCTTGGCCAGCTTTGTGTGGCTGGTGGATCCGAGTTCACTGCCACCCTGGCTGAGAACCTTGTGCTCACTGCTGGTAAGAACACCAAGAAGAGCAGCCGCTGCTGCTGGGGGCCTGATGTGAGAGACAGACCCAGATTAAGAAGAAAAGACCTTATGTGATTCTTTTTTATGGCTGAGTAATATTCCATTGTATATATATACATACCACATCTTTATCCAGTCATCTTGTCGATGGACGTTTAGGTTGCTTCCATGTCTTGGCTATTGTATGCAGTGCTGCTATGAACACTGGGGTACACGTATCTTTTCGAATTAGAGTTTCCTCCAGATATATGCCCAGGAGTGGGCTTGCTGGGTCATAGGGTAAGTCTATTTTCAGCAACATGGATGGACCTGGAGATGGTCATACTAAGTGAAAGCCAGAAAGAAAGAAAAATACCATATGATATCACTTATATGTGGAATCCAAAAAAAAAAAAAAAGACACGAACTTATTTACAAAACAGAGACAGGCTCACAGACATAGAAAACAAACCTAGGGTCACCAGTGGGGAAAAGAGATGAAGAGGGATAAATTGGGAGTTCTAGATTTGTAAATACAGAATACCATATATAAAATAGATAAGTAACAAGGTCCTACTGTAGAGCACGGGGAACTATATTCAATACCGTGTAATGGCCTATGATGAAAAAGAATATGGAAAGGAATATATATATGTATAACTGAATCACTGTGCT